AGGAGTAAACTTCAATCACAAGTCTGAATCACTGCTGAGATCTTAGCTTCCTCTTTAGCACTTAGAAGACATGAGTGATAGTTCTGTCCAACTATCTACTCATTTTAGCGTTTTATGGTCCTGCTTTTTCTACTAAAGGTACCTAGTCTCGGAAATACTCATTTTTAATGGAGAACAGCTAAAAGTTTGCCATGTTTGCAGATGCAACCAGAAGGTCAATTCGCCAGGGCCTAATCACCTCAGCAGTTGGGTGACTACATCTCACAGAACTGTTCTTCATTTGCTTCTCTTCCCTACTGGCTACTTCTCTGTCTAGTATGACATTCTCATGCTCCACCCTTTCTCCTCCCACTGCCTGCTTCTCATTATCAGACTTTCACTTGGACTCAAATGGGGGTTTTCTTGTTGTTTCTGATAGAACCTAGTGACATTCTTAAAAGCAGACAATTTCACAGTGAAGTGTGTTTCCAAGACAAAGTGTTCAGTTGATAACTTCCCGTAGCCCCCAGGTCAAACGAACACATGGTGGACTGCAGAGTGGACCACATTCACAGTTCCCCTCTTGGGGAATGGGCCTTCTCCTTGAGAGAGTTGTGTATTTCTTCACTGCTCGTGAAATACAGTTATGAAAAGGAGTTCAGACACATGGTCATCCTCCAATCTACCTCATAAGCAGCACTGTAAGCCTTCCTGCTGAAGCCTTCTCTGCTTCCGAGCTTCCTGGAAGCCCAGGATGCATTACCCTAGGTTGGAAAGGTTCTCTCTGATTGCCACAATGACCATGTTGGGGGGGGGGGGCACTGGGTAGAGAAAGTCTGTGGGTAAGAAAATGTCAGATGAACCAGGCTGACAAGTCTTTGCTCTTAGCACAAAGGGCAAGGATAATGAGGTATCATTTCTCAGCTGTTCCAAGCTTTGAATCCACCACTTCTTTTTAGTTTCTAATCTGTGATCCGGTGTACATCCTGGTGGCCTGGTGATACCAACAGGTGCTTGCTGAGGAAGAAAACTTTAAAAGGCAGAGCCATTCTTGTCTATCCCAAAGTTAATCATCTGTAAGTCTATGGGAGTCAATGTAACTAAGTATGCTCCATTTGTTAGTTTACTTATGTAAAACATATGCAATGACAGGATCAAATTCCAAAGAATTGTGTTTCCATTCACTTAAATTATCTTTTGTTTGATGTTTTGTATTATAGTAGTGATGCTTTGAATTGTACCGCCCATTTTACAGAAAATTATAGACTTAATAAAGATAACTTGTAAGCATAAGAAGTAATTTTATTTTTCATGTTTGTCTGATTTATGGTCTGTGGTGAAAGTGTACTGAAGCTGGGTATGTTGGGAATAAAACTGTATTTTACTTATTTGTATGCAACAGCACAGATTGTGCCCAGGGCTTTCTGTATGCTAGACAAGTGCTGCACCTCTATACTAAACCCCCAGCCCACATCTTACTTTGAATATTTTACACTGAGAAGTTTACATCATTTTTTGTAAACAGAAAACGAGGTATATAAAAGAAAAAAACTTTGTCATAGCAACACCATTACGGTTTCTTTAGAAATAAAGATTAAACATAAGCTACGGGAGGTTAAAAGTCCTGTGGCCCTTGAGGAAGATGTTTTCTAGCGGCCAGGTTTGACAGTTCACAATCATGGCTAACTCCAGCTCTAGGGGACCTGACGCCATCGTCTGGCCTCTGTGGGCATTACACTCATGTCTATATATCTCCACTTGGAGAGACACACAGATATAAAAATAAAAACTTGAGAGGCTACAGATTAGTTACTACTCTACTGATCGTATATGGCTTAATTTTGTCACTCATGGAAACATCACCGACCCAATCAGAAAACATCTGCATGCACATAATAAGTCCCATGGTTAGTGTGACAATATGGGGAACTTTCTGTGTATTTCCTATTTTTCTCATTGTGGTTGTGTGTTTCTCTGGATAGGGTGAAAAAGCACCCTTTACTTAAGTATGTGTTTGTCTGAGTTATACCTCTTTACTCTACACATATGATATTGGGCTGTTAGGGCAGACTTGCCTAGATATCCCCTTCTTTTTAAGGCAACAATAGCATTGTTTTCCAAAGTCTTTCCTAAGCACAACTGCTTTAGATGCAACCAAAGTGAATTTCCCCAGAGACCTTCTCTCAAGTGGTAGCTTGGTTTCCAGACGGGAGCAAAAGAATAAGAAGCACAAACATAAATTCTTTGATCTCTTAATCGAGTTTCCCCCTTGGTTTAATTCTTTTCATGTCCCACTCCTTAGTGGGGTAGTTGGTTCAGCTGTATAGGCCTGGGTTTCTTATCCGTGAGAAAGAAATGAACACACCTTCACCCATAAAGCTACTGAGGTGACACAATGGCTTGGAGACAGTAAGAAGAAAGTAATCTGTTGTTATTATAATGCTATACATCTGTTAATTCCTAAGTATTAATCTGTTTACCTAAGTATTAGTCTGTTCATTTCTCACGGACTAAAGCTCTAGCAATGACTGCCTGGGCTGTGCATTACGTTATTGGAGACACTCTAGTGAGTCCATTCTTGAAGTCCAGCCCTCCTCCAGCTTTACTCTGGTCCCTACGGGAAACTACACTTCCAAGCTCTACAGTGTCACTTCCAAGTGGCAGCAATTTGATGGAGAGCCCTCTTCCAAGCTGTCTTCAAACAGTGCCCCACCCCCACGAAGATGTCTTCCCAGCCTCCTCCTTTAGTGGACATCTCTCTCCTTTTGCTTGCACAACACGGCCCTGTCACTCTGCCACAAAGCTCAGACATGAGCCTCACGCACAGCGCCGGGTACAAGTGCTCACTTACTGGTACTGTCTGCTTCTTTGGGATAGAAGGTGACTTTTTTTTTTAAACCTTTGCTCACATTTGCACTCAGCATAGAACCTATGACAGTACAGAGACCATGCAGCCAATTGTTTTAAATTTATGTTTGTTGACCATAGTTCAAGGAGCAAAAAGAAAAGTGAAAAACAGAACCAGGTCATTCTATGAAACTAGCAATTTTTTTTTGTTTTTTTTTCTCAAGATCCTACATGTTTTGGTTTTGTTTCATTTTCAAATGGCATCATGCATATTGGAAGACATTTTGTTAATTTCCAGGAAAAGTACTTTGTTTAAAAGCACTTCTCATTGACAAACTGAACACTGTGAAACACTGAGCCATTTTATGTAAATGTCTTGGACAAATTTCAATATTTACATATTCTAGTGATTTCCAATGTCCACAAATTCTTTGCTGCCTCTCCTTTCAAACAGTAAAAAGTCACTACCTTTCCCCTGAAATGTTCAGCAACAGAAATGATGGCTTGCCAGGAGGGACACTTGGTCATAAAGGACAGGGATCCTCCCTGGGTTGCTTACTGTCAGTGGGTCAGCCATTTGCTGAGGATCCTGCCACTGGCCACCTAAGTAAGCTTGGAGCCGATCTTCCTGTCTCACTCACACTTTCTTATGGTAGCAGCCTCAGTAGATGGCTTGTCAAGAAAGTGTGGCCTGAAACCACTTCATGTGACAGAAGTGCCCACTGTCATTCATTCTGTTAATAATTTATTTAGTGAATACTTATTAGTCTTCACCAGTCATAAGATATGTTTCAAGTGCTTCCTATCTGAGTGTCCTTTGCCATCTTACTCACTGGGCAGCTTGAGGCTTGGGGTCATTTTGGGACATATTTACCGTAAGAAAGTTTTTAAGAACTAATTTTTATAATGGAATATGGATTTGAGTGGGACTTAAGAAAAGGCTTGGGGTTAATTACGGTTTTAACAGGTAGGATCTCAAGCAAAGTGAGGCTTGACAGTTTTAGGCTTTTAAGTAAAAAGGCAGTGGGTCTCAGGGTGCTAGATGACTAGAATCCTGTGAAGCGGTCTGTCTGCCTGTGAAAGCAATCAGTGTCAATAACACCGCCCTTAGGATGAAGGACAGTGAGTGACATTAATGGTAAGAAAAATATTCCACCAGTAAAACATCCCCTAATTAACACTAATCTGTTCCCTGGAAAAGCTGCTTGAAAGGGAAGAGATTTTCTCCCCACACGCCAAACTGCCAAGCAGTAATTTGGAAATTTTTCCATTTAGTTTCAAGGAATATTAAAAAGCTTCACCCAGCAAGAATTAAAAATGAATCTATTACCAATCTCATGTATTAAAAATATGATCCACTCCAGGCAATGCCAATTCCTAATTGAGCACATTGGCTAAAATCAACTAAATCTTGCTGTCTTCAGAACGAACATTTACCATCCTTCATTTTCTTTATCATCAAGTGCATTTGCTTACGTACGGGACTTCATGCGATACAATGGCTGCTTACGTACGGGACTTCATGCAATACAACGGCAAATGTGGGTCTTGCCTTCTTAAGCCGTCTCAATAAAGATCAGGTGAACTCAGCAGAAAACAAACGTTAACAGTGCGTTAGATGAGGACTGCTCTTTCACAGGACCCAGGTCTGACTCCAGCACTCCCTTTTACAACTGCCTGCATCTCCCACCCCAGGGGTCCCACACCTCTGGTCTCTGAGGGTACTACTCAGACACACATGTGCATAATTTAATAATAAAGTAATTTTTTTCAATTGCATGAAACTAGTGAGATTATCTTTATGCCATTCATTTGGGAAGCCTGGAGAAAATTTAATTGATGGGTCTGATACAGGATAAACTCAATACAGGATAAAATCATTATGCACCCAAAAATATTCTCAGATTCTGTAATGTGTGGTCTTTGACATACATTTCATCCTTTGAATATTCCAGTTTTCTTGTGGTAAGTGGCAATAACAGCAGGACTGTCCATGTTATCTTGCCTGAAGTGAGAAACAGGCTTGGTTGTTGTGTTTAGTATTAGTTTTAAGCAGGTATAAAGTGCATTGTTATATCATCTTCCTTCTTCATCAGGTTAGTTCTTTAAAAACTCAGTTCTCAAGTTATTATTGTTATTCTTATTGTTATTATTATTTTCTTGTCCAGGCTACTAGGAGAGACAGTCTCATGGAATCTATCTCCAATAGGCTTCTGGAAAGCCTCTTCTTGGTCACCTTTGGCCTGGCTCCTCCCACTGGCATCAGCTTCTTTGAGGCAGTTGATCACGCTCAGGTGAATTCTTGTTTTCCTGCCTATGTCTGCTAGCACGGCTTTAATGTACGCTGCTTTTCTCCTTTGCCGGGATCAGGTAGCCGGGGCAGAAGAACATGAAAAACCATTTCACTTCCCTCGATTCCACTGCTATCCCCAGAACAGCCCTGTACCGCTGACTTCCACCTCCGGATGACTTCCTACTCGGTTCAGTGAGAAAGGGGTCGGCCACTACCACTCCTGCCCCGCATAGGATATTTCAGCTTTGTGGACAGTCATGAACATTAAAAAACAAAACAAAACAAAACAAACAAACAAACAAACAACAACAAAAAAACCCCTCACACTAAGCGAGGCTTTCAAGGGGTTGCTTAGTCATCTGGACCGACCAGACCCGACCAAACCAGACCAGACCAGACAAGCCTAATTCTCATAAAGGTCCTGGCTCCTGGACCCTCACGTGTTCATCAAGTCTTAACAGTGTGACCATGAATTCCATTGAGGTGAAGCAGCTGCTGGCTGGCTGAGGTGGGGGTGTGGTGTGGGGGCATGGTCTAGCCATTCACAAGCAATTTGGAAGTCTGCTGATATGGGCACCCCAGGAGCCAGGCTCTTTTATATAACTATGTTCACGTATTCACTTGTAAAGTTGTCTTTGATAGTTTTTAAATGTATTAATTATTTTTTGAAAATACAGCGACTTCTGTTGAAAAATAAAAGTTCTTTATTCTCGAATCTCCAAAGGTGGAGCGTCATGGGGCAAGCTATAGAAAAAAAGACCTTTTTAGTCAGCTCAGGGTTTAAATGTAGCAAAAAGGAAAAGCTGTTTCTCGGCAGAAAAAAATGCAACAAAGACTTTACTTCTTACTAAATAGCTTAAGAATGTCTGAACAAAAACATCTCAAATCTATCTAGTGCCAGGATTTCTCAGATAAGTCAGGAGAGGAGAAAAATTTGTCTCAATCCAAAGCACCAAGAAATCATGGAGGGCAAAAAGGGACAGTTCATAAGGAATACAGCTGAAGGAATACATCAAAACCCTGTCCTATATGCATGGCTGAGGCAAACGGCTGTTTTCAGTTTAATCTTGCTTAGATTCTGTAGACTAGTCCAGCTCTCCTCCAAGAAGCCCTCCACGCTCAGGGTCTCCCAGGGGCCCTTGCTGTACCCCCCACTGTCTACCTGGCTGGATGAGCATCAGGCACCACTTGTCTGCCCTGTCTAATGCATTCCTGCTGTGAGCTGGTCTTTCTTGGGCTAGCCTGTGAGTCCCCTAACTAGACATGAAGACTGACTAACTCAACTAACCTATGAACATTTTCTTCAAAGCAACTAAGACTAGACATAAAAATGAGTACTTCTTTTCAGGACCAGAAACAACAACAACAACAACAACAACAACAACAACAACAACAACACAGCCTTCCATCAGGAATTCTCAAACATTTACAGGTACGTAGTTGTATTTTGAAGCCACTGTAGACTCTTCTGGCTGAGGAGAGAGCCAGTTGCTTGGTGTCTACTTCCACTTAATATTCTGCTTTGCAAAATCACAGATGGGCATCAAAGGCAGGAAGGTGGGTGTAGATACAAGAAACAGAAGTTTATTTGCAAAATTTTGAAGTCCTAGAACCAGAGAAATCTTTTCCTAAATAGAGAAGTATTGTATGGAGGATGCTGATGTGATTTTTAACAGCAGTTAGCACATTTTCAGAATTATTATCCTCAATAGAATAACCTGAAGATTGAAATAGCTTTTTTTAAAAGAAAAAAAAAGAGTTTTAAGTGAAATGTGGACTGTTTTAATGAAAAACTCCCCAAATATGAATATTCCCAGTTCCATTTTTAGAAGGTGAATCCTGGGCTACTCAGATTGGAGATACTATGGACAGGCAACTAACGTGACTTCAATAGGAAATGGCTATAGCTTCAATAGCTAATAGCTATGCAAAGCTTTCAGGTTTATAATAAAATGCTGAAACTCATTATTATCTGTTTACAGATTTATTTTTCTTCTCATATACATATATATGTATATATCTCTAAAGCTCCTCAGTTTAAATGTTGGACTTCATTCAATGATCTTTTAAGGAACTGCACTATTATTTTATCTTTCTTTAGAATATGTTTACTATTCTGCTTACTTTTTCATGTGTAGGGTGGGTTGGGGACCTGCATGTGGATGCCAGAGGACAAGCTATAGGGTTCTTGCTTCTACCATGGGGTTCATAGAATTAAACCGAGGCCATTAGGCTGGGTGGGAAGTGCCTTTACCCCCTGAGCCATCTCACTGGCCTCATTTTTCAATGCTTTACATGTTTATTTTCAATTTTTGAAAAGGAGGCAATGAAATGCAGGAAAAGGAGGCTGTATGTGAACTTCTTCATAGCCTCTCTGTGCAGAGATGGAAACAGGGGATGGGCAAATGAATAGGCAGAGATGCCAAGTGGGCTTTAGGTTAGTATATAGGGCATCTGCACCTTCTTGATTTTCAAGGATAGCCCACATCACATTGCATTGCTTCCTTTTGGGCTGACAGGAAACCTATAGCCTGCCTCTCTCAGTTCTGTGAGGCTTTCTGTGAAAGCTTTACCTCTTGCTTACAGGGCCTTGTCATGGGTTACCACATCCTCTCTGCATTGTCATTCAATGTTCTCATGGTCACATGAGCTAGCTGAGCACAAAACTGTGTTCCCTTGTAAGTAGGGAAATAGAGACCTATGTGTCATTCCAAACTCAGACAGGGCATGCAGACTCAATAATTCAGGAGACAGAGTTGAAAAATTAACCAATGTTTTAATGACCTCAGCTGTCATGTAAGATAATATATAAGCCAAACAATATAAATACAAGGACTTAAACTATGATATACCTCTCTGCATTAAAACTCTCACCTACCAGGTCAAATTTACTTTTTATATTTTCTTTTGCCAATAGTACCCTACTGTCTGTTCCCATGACACATCTGGTGAATCAGAAACAGGGTGATTTCTAAGTTTGTTGGCCAGATGATCCAGCAGAAATAGTGAGTTCCATGTTAGTGAGAAACTGTCTCAAAACTGAAGTGGAGAGCAACTGAGGAAGACACCCAATAGAGACTCAACAATGACTTGTGGTCTCCACACACACTCCTGTATTCATATGCATACTGTACAGACACAGTCCCATGTACACATACACAGAAACACACCAACCGAAAATAAGACCAGAGCAGGAACTAGTCAACCACATTTCAAACCTATGACGTAAAAAGTGTGACACTTGAGAGCAAAGCTGATTGTTCATGAGAGCACAGAAAGTGTCAGGGCAATAATGTCAGCACCTTCTCTGGGAAAGCAAACATTTAGGAAGTATTATCCACAGTTCACTCCCTCCCTCCATGAGACATAACCCACCAATGCTATAGTAGGTCTATCTTAGGTTCTCATTTTTTGAGCACTCAAATCACTTTACTATCAACTTGACTCAATGCTTCCCAAGAGTGCTAGTGGCTGCAATGAATACTTGGAGCTGACTTGCAGACAGGTGAAGTGGTAGCCTGAGACTAAAGATGTCTCATGACACTGGACAACCACACTTCCTAATGAGAACTGATAAAGTGGAAAGCTTGTAATCCTGCTTGATGGAGCAGTGATCCAGCCATTGTGTTTGTGGGTCTAAAGATCAGAGTTTGACTTTAGCACATCCTTGCCTGTGGTAGCTGACGGTCCTCTCTAACATATCACGTCACTTACTGACCATGACCCATGAGCCTTCTCTTCAGAAGGCTGTGTAGATTAACACTATGCTCTAAACCACTTGAGAGAGACTCAAGATAGCATATAATTAAGTGAGGGATTTTTTGGCATAAACTAAAAGTACTACAGAAATTCCAAGAGGGTAAAGAGCCTTGTGATGGGGCAGCTTCTTAATGGCCTGTGGTCCTGGGGGGTGGGGGGGCGGAGCTGTCTCCTGTCCTGGAGAAGCTGGGCAGAAATCAAGGGAGGGCCTGGATCTGTAGAAAAGGAAGCCATAGTGCTGACTCATCCTATTGGAACTCCAGAACTACAGATCAGATCAACAAGTTGTTTGTGTTTTGTGCCCTTCAGAATAACACCTGGGAATCAAGAAGGAGAAGCAGGCCTTCATTCCTATTTGAAGTTGAAACTCTAAGTATTAACATAACTAAACACAGAACCAGGTATCTAGTGTAGGATGTGTACTAAGTTTTCATTATCTTCTTCTTAGGATAAATGAATGCTGCCATCTATTCAATGAAAATACTTAAACAAATCTGTAAAACGAACAGAAGGAAAAGCAGCACTTGCCACCAAGCGCATGCAAGCCTGAGTACTAAGTGAGACTATTACACTGGATTTGTTCCGGAGACTAGCAGGATGGTAAGGCAGTGAGCTTTGCCGCAGTTAATTCCTAGTTATGGAAATTATTTCATAAGTTTTCACTCAAATACTCCGCAGAAATCTTCACAGAGAGATAACGAGTTTTCAACAAACCAATGTTGACATGGTAGAAAGTTAATGCTTACAGGCTTTCCCCGTCTATAATAACAACCGAATATAGGAGAACTCAAGCAGGAGACAGACAAGAACTAAGGTATTTTCTTCCAGACTGATCATGAGGTCTCCTTACCTGTCATGTGGAATCTTGTAGTTGCAAAAGAGTGAATCAAAGAGCAGAGCATAGTGATGAGCAAGAGAATCAGGGACAGAGCCATCATCTTGCAGTGACCCTGGGTGGGCATGCAAAGCTTGATCTCTGGCCTCTGCCCACCTCTTGCCTTAGTCAGCACTGTCTTCGATCTCTGTCATCTTTCTTTCCTCTGTTTTAAGCTTGTTTCTGGGATAAGACCAGCAAACCTATATAGTTCCTACAGGGTCATTTGTTTTAAATGCCATTCTTTTAAATGGCACATCTGGAGAAACAGGACACTGTGCTGCAGATTTGCCTTAATGAAACTGTTCTAACTCCTGCATCCTTTTGGATACCAAACCTGTCCTAGCAGACAGTTGTAATGAACAGGGATATCTTCATTCTAGGGCAGCTACTGCTGTTCATGTGAGTATGTCCTCTGACTTGCCTGCCAAAGTCATCTCTTCTTCTCTGTCTCTTTTTTCCTCTGTCTCTGTAACACACAAACACACACACACACACGTCTGAAAACTTAAAAAGCAATCTAAAACCTTTATGATCTATAGACATTTTTACACAGTAATATACATTTAGAACATCTTTGCTCTGTTTCCATTTCTTAACTGCTGGTCAGCCACAAAGCTCTCAAGTCATTTTTGAAAACAGTGGTCAGTATTCTGATTTTAAAGTCATAGCTCAGTTAACAATAACAGTGGTTGTAGACTATCTTGGTAGTGAGTCTCCATGTCCCAGAAATGTATGGAAAACATAACTATTCCATATGCAACTAGAATAAGAGTAACAGGAGGACAATCTTGAAGAATGACTCTTCAATATTTGAAAGTCTTCCTGAACAACCTTTTCTTAGGAAATTATAAAAAGAGTCTTTTTTTTTGCCAGAGTCAGAGCAATTTATCTAACAGCACCCTCCAGAGCTACAAAAATTGGCATTCTCTATGACAGACAAAATTTGGAATTTGGTTCATAAAGCCTCCCAAGATGTCTGCACTCATTTTCTCCATTAGTTCTGGAGGGAACATTATCACAAACATTGCCCCATCAGTGGGTTTGTAAATAAAGTTTTATTGTGACACAGACATACATATCCTTTTGTTTACACATTGTCTATTGTTATTCTGTGACTTTAAGAGTAGACCTGCATTGGCCTGGTCACATGCACACAATTTCTAACATATATGGTCTTGCTCTTTTTACAGCAAGTTTGTTGTCCTTTGACCTACAAGGACTCCCTTCTTCCATCTGGCCTTCTGACTAACAACATAAAGATGTCTGGGTTGTAGACTCACTCTGCTCTCTTTGTAAACTTCTGTGTGACCTGAGTCAGAGGTTGATTTCCTTAGCCTAACTTCCTGTTTGCAAAGCAAAGGAAGTTGGTCCAGGTAATCCCCTATTCCTTGTTTAAGTCCTTCTAAATTTCTGGGTTCCAAGGAGAAGGAGAGCTTTCTTTGTGTTGTTTTTAACCAGGGATGCGTATAAATTCAAAAAGACTTTACACAAATCCCAGCTTACCTCGAAACAATTCAAGTCTTTTCTAGTATTCATCAACCAAACAACCTGCCTTGTTATCTGTCATGGCCATGCTGCAGGCTGCAAATGTGCTGGAGAGACCACAATGTCAGGTGCACAACTGGTTCACACTTTCCTATCTCAGACACCCTACCCGCTTATGCCAGACATGAACACTCTGCTCTGTAGGGTTGTGAAAGTGGGTTGAGTGCCCCACCTCTGCTGTGGTGCTAGGGCACCAGCAGAAATGACAGGAGTTACCACATCCAAAGGGCGCTTTTGAGTTCCTGACAGAGACAAAACTCCCTTGTCTTAGTAGGACTGGATTTATTTCTGTCAAAAACTTCAGAGTCATTGGCATATTCTGCATGGTGTAATTCCTTTATTAAACACTTAGCATAACCCTGGATGAAAGAAGTGTCAGTATAGTAAGAATAATCTTGTTTCCCAAATCCCCACAACAGCTGCTGGATCCTTCTCTAGCGGCTAGCTTGACAGAATAAAAGATGTGAGAGGTTATGTTATCTTAAAAATGAAATCAGGGAGATGGGAAAAATACACTAGACCTCAATGGTAATCGCTATGATTTTAAACCCTGAAGTCCTATCATCTTTAAAATAAACATTTCTCTTGCACATTCTTTCTTCCTGCTAAATAAAGGGGAATGTTTTCGAGTCTCTAAACCAGAAAGGATTGGTCCATAATTTCCATAGCAGGAAATTTTGGTTGTGAAGAAGCTTACATGGAATTTAGAAGGCACAATGAACACTATTCATTTTAAAACATTATATTTCAAAACAGAAAGAAGTGGATTTCAAGTGGAACCACTTGAGGGTTTTTTTTTTTTTTTGAGCTTGGTCATCATCTTTTTCCTAAACACCTTACAAGACATGGGGACCGTTCTACACATACCAACATTCTTGAGCTTGTATATGGACCTATGCTCTCCCTTGTATGCTTTTTCTTGCAAGAAGAAGAAGTACCATCTATCACGTCTGCTTGTTTAATCATCTTCCCAAATACCAAATACTACCCCACCCCGATTCTGTAACCTCCGAACTAGATAGTAACATTTTTCAGAATATGCACAAGCCAGCAAGGATTTTCAGAAATGGAAATCTGCACTGGGAGCTTCAGCAGAAGAGCAGTGGTGCACGGATTGCTCGAGCCACTGCTTTTTTTGAGCCCTCCCCAGCAATGCCTGTATTTTGTAGGACTTTACCTTCTCTTCTTGTCCGGATAGCCTCCTACTCATCCTTTCAGTCCCATGTCTGATCCACTCCCGGCTAGCCTTTGAATGCTTGGAGAATAGAGGGACTTATAAAAACCAGTGGTTTGTTTGGAAAGTCTTCCTTGATGACCTCAGCCCATGTTGATCTCTACCTTCCTGAAGTCCTTTGAGATTCACCGCCTAACCCAGACAATTAACACCTTATTATCCTTGGCTCTGACTGCCTGCACCCTCCCCCTCAACACACACATAAACTCTTCTTTTAGATAATTATTTCACACGAGTTAGTTTCCTCTCTCTAATTAAACTGTCAGCTTCTTGTGAATGGAGCCATCTTTTTTAGGTGCATAGTAAACAACCAATTTTTTTCTTTTTTCTTCAAGAAATAGAATTTTCCATACGACAATCTCAGAGATCATTTGTTAGTTATGGCATGGTGGCTACAAATGAAACCTTTAGATCAGAACAGCAACAGGGCCGAAAAGCCTCAATCTTCCAATGATAATTTAAATAAATAAATAAATAAGAATATTCAGATTAGATTAAAGACAGTGGTTCAGACATTACTTGTAGGGCAGAATGTCTAAGTATTTAAAGGAGACTTAAATAAACAAGAAGAAAACACATACACACTCACAAACACATTCATACTCACATACACACAAACATATACACAAACTCACAGTCACACATACTCACAAACACACATACAAACACACACTCAAAAACATAAACACACACTCACAAATACACACTCTTTACACACACTCTTGCACACACAAACATACATTCACACACCACAGTTAATTCTATGTCAATGTACATTTACAATAACATGAAATTTACCTAACAGATTAAGTAAAGACCAAAATGATGACAAGATAAAACAAATCATTATCTCATTGATCAAACAATCATGTGTTGGATGTGCCTGTGCATATAACATATTTGGAAAATGACATATTATCTTACAGTACATATAATTTCTTCACAGCTCACAGATTTGCATAGTTTATGCTTTGCTCAATACTTAGAATGTCCCTGCAATCAAAAGAATCTGTTAAGCCAGTGGTTATTTCAAGAAACGTTTTGTTTGAATACAACCCAAGAACTCAAACATCTGTTGTAACTAGAAACATCAACTATGTTCACTCACTGTATTGATAAAATTTGGAAGATTGCTCAATATCCTGCTTTGTTCTGCTCACACAGACACAGCTTGATGCTTTCTATGCCACCAAATTAGTGCCTAAGTGGTTAAAGTGACATGAGAGCTTTGCATACATCATGCCACCAGTGTTCAACAGAGAATTAGAGCTGAAGTACCCAGCTCTGGGGAAAGGCAATTAGTACAGAGTTGTAGTACTTTAGCCAGTGGCTTCATTAATATGGAAGAGACAATAAAACTGTATTGATACCATCCTAGACTGTGATTTAAGTGTCTTACGCTAGCTCATGCCACATCTGAACTCCATGAAGGGCTTGCATATAGGAATGGACCAATGTTCAGTGTGTTAGACACAGAACAAACCCTAGCCCCATGGAACATGCAATACATTTCAAGATAACACATTCTTCCAAGTAAGAGATTTTTTTTTTCTATAAGTGGCTAACCTCTGGAAACAATGTGTGAGACCAGAGAAAAAGAACCCAATTCAAATGAAATCTCTGTTGTAAGCCAGAGCTGTGCTGTCCTCATGGTAGGTTTCCCATGACCACTGTGACTGTCACTATTCCAAATTCTCTCACAAAGAAGACTCAGTTCAACTCCTGGATCAATGATTTTCAACCTTTCTCATGATTCACACCCTTCCCATGATTCATTTGCTTCTCTCCAAGATTCTGTAGCTGTGATTGCTGCAGTCAAAACCCTGATACGGATGTGATATCTACTGGAGAGTGTGTTAATATTAATGAGCAGGAA